CAAACTGCCGACTTTGCAGCTAGCAGCCCAGTGTATATGCTTCCAGGGTGCAAAAGTTCTGTAGTAGATACAAGGTAATTAAGATTTCTAGTCTTGTCCATTTTACCCAAATTGTTGAATTAACTGGCATAAATTTGCTTATGATTTTCTCTTATTGTTGCTTTAATAGCTATGTTGTTGTTAGTAACTATGAGAGCTATAATAATGCACACGTTTTCTTCCTTAATACTTTAAATTTGTTTTCTTGATCAGTCAGGCTAAGATTTCATCAGTTTAATAAGTTCCTGGTAAGATTTTCTCAGTTTTTGATAAGATCAGAAGAGTTAACATTGTGAAAATGTCAACACTACCCCAAGCAAATTATATTATGGAATTCCAATCCAAGTTCCAACATCATTCTTTGAAGAGATGTTGAAACGAATCACCAACTTTACATGGAAAGGAAAGAGACTCTCAGATAAGCAAAGCATTACTAAAAAGGAAGAACAAACTAGATGGCCTCTTACTTCCTAATCTCAAAACCTATTACATAGACACAGTCATCAAAACAGGCTGGTACTTGTACAACAAAAGACACATAGATGAATGGAACAGAATCAAGAACCCAGGAGTAAATCCATCCACCTACGCTCAGTTGATCTTTGGAAAAGGACCAAAACATATTAAATGAATCTATTTTAAAACCAGGTTTGGTTTATTGACATAGTCTATTTTGTTTGTTTTCTTCTTCAAAGCACATGTTGTTTCTATATTATTCTTCTCTTCTACTTAGACTTGATTTTCTGTTGCTTTTCTTAGGATGGAAGTTTATATCTTTGATTTTCAGTCTTTCCTTTTTTCTAGTATATTGTTGTTGTTGTTGTGTGCCGTAGAGTCGGTTCCAACTCATAGCAACCCTGCATAGGGTTTCCGAGGCTGTAAATCTTTACAGGAGCAGAAAGCCTCATCTTTCTCCCACAGAACGGCTGGTAGTTTTTAACTGCTGACCTTGTGGTTCGCAGCCCGATTCATAACCACTATGCTACCAGAGTTAATTAGGTGTATTCAAATTCATAACAAATCATCTTACTCATGAATTACGTAAATAATTGATCTATTTTCCCAATTTACCTTCTCTAAATATATATTTAATTTAGCTATTGGCAAAGAATAATCACAGAGTTTTTGTTGTTTATTTGTTTGACAGCAGCCCACAGTATTTTAAGTGTTCTTCTCCAGCACCATAACTCAAAGACATCAATTCTTCTAAAGTCTTTGTTATACATGGTCCAGGATTCACATGCATACAGGTGTACCTCAGTAATCAAACCAGTATCTTTGTTTTTGAACACTTTAAAGAGGAATCACATAGTTTTTTGATTGTTTAAATTAGCTTTATTGATGTCTAAGTTACTGAATAAAATATATGAGTTTTAGAACATTTCCATCACCCTAAAATGTTCTCTTTTGCCTCTTCCCAGTCAATTTCCAACCATACCTACTGCAGAAAATTCTTGATATGCTTTCTGTCTTTGGAGAGTAGACTTTTCTTTTATTGAGTATGTTTTTGAGATTCATCTGTGTTACATTGTATTAATAATCCATTCCTTTAGATCTCAAGTTACTTCGTGTTTGTTTTTTTTTTTAATTAAATGTTTTTATTTTGCATTGAGTGAAAGTTTACAGGGCACATCATCAGCTTCACATTCAACCATTCATATAGCTTGTTTCAACTTCGTGTTTTATGATTTCAAATTATTTATTTTTCCTTGATTTTAAACTTAACTGCATAAACTCTCAAATGTCAAAGCCAATTTGAGTTGTGTTTTATTCTTTATCACTATCACATTATCAGACTAGCCATTAGCACAACAAACTGTAACTTTGTGTAACCCTTTGATGACCTACATTTTCTGTCTCTGGAGGTTAGTGGGAAGTTGCTATTCTATTTTTAGTGTGTTCCCCCCTTTGGCATACTACGTGAATTTGAAAAACCAGGCCTCATGCCACCAAACCCAGCACCAGAGACCCCTTAGGACATGTGTCCCACAAATTGTATCAAAATCCGTGTTACCTCAAAAATATTTTTCCCTTTTTATTCAAAATGTTTTCCAATACTGAAAACATTTGGCTTAAACAACAAAGTCAAAGCAAACAAATAAATTGGTTTTGAGAGAGTTAAGGTTATAGTTGAGGTAACTTTACTAATATCACTGATAAAGGGATAAGCTCACATCAGCAGTTCAGGTGTAAAATACTAGTGTGAATTGTGAGTGATGATTGCGCTTTACTGCAATGCAGCCGTTTCTCCATCATTTTGTAAAGTGGTCCGTACACACGACAAAATATGCTCTCCTTATGGAAGCATGGTACGACTAATAAGTCATTCATGCCTGCTCAGATTCTGACTCTGTGAATCAAAGATGTTCATTGTTTTCATAATACTGGTTTTATAGGGTTTCCAAAGCTGTAAAACTTTACTAGAGCAGATATACTCAACTTTCTTCCATGGGGAGGCTGGTGGGTTTGAACTATCAACCTTGCAAGGGCTTATCTTACAGAGCCTCCAAAGCTCCTTCTATATGAATAGATCAATGAAAAAGGAAAAACAAAAAGTTATTGTGGAGTCAACTCTAACATGATGACCGCCTGTGTGTTCAGAGTAACTCATGGTGGACAGCTTCAGATGAGTTTCTGACTAAGACAGACTAGGGAGAAGGAGAGATGGACTACTTCTGACTATTTAGTCACTGAAAACCTTATGAAGAACAATGGAACCCTGTCAGCACCAGACTATTTAATATTGAAACATGATGAACAGCACCAGAACACTGTCAGATGGAGTGACAGAATATGAGCCCCTCAGAATATGCCCTATTTTGGAAGGCACTCAAAATACGCCTGGGAGAGAGCTGCCTCCTCAAAGTAGAGTTGACCATGATGACACAAATGGAGTAAAGTTTTCAGGACATTCATTTGCTGATGTGGTACAACTCAAAATGAGGAAAGACAGCTGTGACCATCCATTAGTAACTGGAACATGGTATGTACGATGTATGAATCGAGGAAAACTGGAAGCTGCCAAAAATAAACTGGAATGCACAAACATTAATATCCTGGCATTAGTGAGCTGAAATTGAACTGATAATCAAATAGTTTACTATGACATGACCAATTAAAGAGAAATAGCATCACATTCATCATCAGAAAGAAAATGTCAAGATCTATCTTGAAATACAACGCTGTCCATGATGGGATAATATCCATACGACTGAAGGAAGACCAGTTAATACAACTATTATTCATATTTATATACCAGCACTAAAGTCAGTGATGATGAAATTGAAGAATTCTATCAACTTTTTCAGTCTGAAATTGATCAATCAATCATGCAATCAAGATGTACTGGTGATTGGAATGCAAAGGTTGGAAACAAAGAGGAAGGATCAGTAGTTGGAAAATATGGCCTTGGTTAAAGAAATGATGCTGGAGATCACATGATAGATTGACTTCTTCATTGCAAATACCTTTTTAAAACAACATCAAAGACGTCTATAAACGTGATCCTCACCAGATGGAATACACAGAAATCAAATTGTCTACATTGGTGGAAAACTTACATATCACCAGCAAAAAAAAAAAATACCAAGGGACAGACAGTGAAACAGACCATCAATTGCTCATATGCAATTTCAGGCTGAAGCTCAAGAAAATTAAGAGCCACAGGAGCTAAAACATAACCTTGAACAAATCCCACCTCAAAAACAGATTTGATGAATTAGACACTAAGGACAGAAGACCAGAAGAGTTGTGGGATGACATCAAGAGCATCATACAGGCAGAAAGCAAAAGGTCTTTAAGAATACAAGAGAGAAGGAAAAGACCAAAATGAATGTCAAAAGAGACTCTGAAACTTGCTCTCCAGATGATATCTTTGCTCTTGGTGCTAAAGCAAATGGAAGAAATGAGGAGATAAATTTCAAAGGGCAGCTCGAGAAGACAAAGTCAAATATTATAATGCTGTGCAAGAACTGGAGTCAGAAAACCTAAAGAACACACTCAGCATTTCTTAAGCTGAAAGAATGAAAGAAAAAATTCAAGCGTCGACTTGCAGTATTGAAGATTCTATGTGCAAAATGTAGTCCTGGTGTGGCGCTGAAGGTTAATGCGCTGGATTGCAAAGTTGGTTTGAAGCACAAGGTCAGCAGTTCAAACTTACCAGCTGCCTCTCCCAAACCCTATATAGGGTCACTATGGGTTGGAACCGACTCTACAGCACTTAACAACAACAACAACAATGGGCAAAATATTTAATGATGCTAGAAACATCAAAAGACGATCAAAGAAATACACAGTCATTGTACTAAAAACAAGTGGTTGATGTGCAACCATTTGAAAAGGAAGCATATGATCAAGAGCCAATAATACTGAAGGAAGTAGTCCAAGGTACACTGAAGGCACTGGCAAAGAACAGGGCTCTGTTTAATTAAGTTATGTAAATGTTTCTATCCTATGGGTAATATTAGGAGTCCTGGTGTGGCACTGTGGGTTAATGCGCCAGACTGCAAAGCCGTTTGAACTGCAAGGTCGGCAGTTCAAACTCACCAGCTGCTCCTTGGAAACCATATACAAGGTTGCTCTGGGTTGGATCCGACTCGATGGCACTCAACAACAACAACATGGGTAATATTGCTGTTCCCATTACAAACAAGAGAAAACGGAGGCATAGAGAGGTACCCACTATCCATGTGGGACTAAGACAACCACGTTGGAGACTGGAATCCCACATTTTCAATATGAAGGTCTTTATTCAATATGAAGGTCAGGACTGCAGGGGTGGGGACAGTAGCTACAGTAGGCAAGCACTTAATTGGGTCCCACCCCACCTCCAACTTGTCTTGGCTCTATAAATCGTCCTTGAGCTAGGCCCACACTGCAGTGTGACTATGGCAGTAGGTGGACGAAACAGTGTCCTTTCTTCTCAAAGGAGGAAGTAACACATTGTGTATGATCTTCACCAGGAGGGCAGGAGAGGTCCGAACCCCGCCCTCTGGTGGGTGAATGGCAAAGGGGACGAAGTGAAGTGGAGCTTCACAGAGATGACAGACCTAACCCGCCGAGTAGCCAATGTCTTCTCACAGACCTGTGGCCTGCAGCAGGGAGACCATGTGGCCGTGATTCTGCCTCGAGTGCCTGAGTGGTGGCTGGTGACTGTGGGCTGCATCCGAACAGGTAAGTGGCCTGAGAGGACCTCGATGGACCTCAGTGCTTACCTAGAGTTTTAACCTCAGCTCCTCTGCTGGGACTCCAGAACAAGCCTCCCTGCTTTGGGGAAGTAACAGTCCAACTGAGAAGAAAGCACTGTCTCTTCCCCTACCTTCTTTCTCACCACAGGCTTCCTCTTTCTCATGGGGCACCACAAGTTCCATTATTCTTTCTTACTCATGGTCTTTCTCATACTTGGTGTTAAGTGCCGTCGAGTCAATGCCTATCCATAGTGACCCTGTATAGGGTTTCCAAGGAGCAGCTGGTGAGCTTGAACCGCCGATCTTGCAGTTCACATGACTCCAGTCAGACGCATTAGCCCACAACGCCACACAGAACTCCTTCTCATATGTACATACTCTCAAATACACCCTCATTCACTCACTCTCTCTCTCACATCTGAATCCTGTATACTCTCAGACATTGTCAACTTATTATTTAATATTCATCCGTTTTAACATTTTCCACAATCTCTCCCTCTTGTGGACTTATGGGTTCTATTTTGAATCACCTGTTTTATTTTGTCTTGCGTGCTCAGACAACACTCTGTCGTGATCTTTCATGCTTGTAAATCCCCCTCTCATACATTCTTGCACACATTAAATACTCAAAAAATTAACAGTAATGACAGAGGGGTTAGACAGAAGAAAAGCCATGTCATCTTATAGCTAAGAGACCAGCCATAGGAAATCCAAGGTTTGACCTAGTTCTCTGAAATAAACAGAATTGAGGGCAACTTTAAAGCAAAGGAAGGTAATTCACAGAAAGGGCACAGCCCACGCAAAGATTTAGAGTCAGGAACAACCTACATAAAGAATGTCATTGTTGTTGTTAAGTGCCGCCAATTGGTTCTGACTCATAGGGATCCTGTACAGGGTTTCTGAGGAGTGGTTGGTGGGTTTGAACAGCTGACCTTGTGGTTGTCAGTTCTGTACTTATTCTATAGCACCACATCAGAAGTAGCCCTTTGAAATGGAGAACGAGGTTGTGGCAGAGAAAGATGGGGAGCGGGCAGCATCTTAAATGTAATGAGGGGTATTTGGTTTTTCCTGGAGAGATGACACAGGTCTTAGTGTGGGAACATAAAGAAATGGGGGGTAAAATCAGTGCTTTGTGGGGGATTCTGGAAAGGGTATCAGGTGGAGAGGTTTGAGCTCAGTTGGGCACATCGTGGCTGGAACTGATTGCTGATGGTGGAGATGGAAAGGGGGGGTGGGCGCAAGGTGCAAAGGACAATACTGTTACCAATTAACCGAATGAAGGAAAAGAGGAGACGCAGGATGACATCAAGAAATGAGCAGAAAGGGAAGTGGAAGGACACGGATAAGGGGCAGAGAAACAGCTAATCCTGATGTCTCGGTCCTACTAGTGTGGATGCCGTCCACCATCCAGTGGGAAGTTCAGTAAGGGCCACCTGTCTTCTGGCTGGACCCATAGGTAGTAGAAGAAATCAGGGCATGTTAGTGTGCACGGGATTCTCCTGGGCATCTTGTTCAAATAGACTCTGATTCTGTAGGCTTGGGGCAGAGCCCGAGATTCAGCAGTTCAAACCAGCTCCTAGGGGCTGTTGATGCTGCAGTACAGCCAGAGCTTAGGGGACTTGTATGCAGACATGTCAGACCTTGACTGTGAAAGTGTAACAGAAAGCAAACCATTCCCTTCTCATCCCCAGGGATCATCTTCATGACAGGCACCACCCAGCTGACAGCCAAGGACATTCGCTACCGAATACAGAAGTCTCAAGCCAAGGGCATCGTGACCACAGAGACCCTGGCCCCAGTGGTGGACTCGGTGGCTTCTGAATGTCCCTCTCTGAAAACTAAGCTCGTGGTGTCTGACCACCACCTTGAAGGGTGGCTGGACTTCCGGTCACTGGTCAAGTGAGTTTCTGGTCACTTAATGGTTGTACTCTGCAGAATGGTGGGAGAGGCCACCTGTCCCCCAATGCTGAGAAACAGGTGGCCAAGTGATGGAAGCTCAACAGGTTGGAGGCCAGCTGCTTGGTTCTGATGGTTCTGCTACTTACTAGATTACATCTTCAGGCAAGTTAGCTAAGCTCTCAGTTTTCTCATCTGCAAAATGGAACTATAAGAGCAGTAATCATCTTTCAGCGTTGCTCTGGAGATTAAACAAGGCCATACCTGTGAATCAGTTAGAGCATTATCTGAGACATGTTACTGTTGTTAAGTACCATCGAGACAGTTCCATGGGGACTCTTGGAAAGATTTCCCAAGAAGTGGCTGGTGAGTTTGAACCGCTGACCTTGTAATTCAAACCGACCTGGCGGTCCATTGCTTTATCCCAAAGCACCGCAGTTCCATTTAAGCATTTGTTAACTGCTTTTTGAAATCACTGTATTTCCCTATTTTTCAAATGAGGAAACAAGACTCTACTTGTCCAGACTAACCGTAAAGTCAGTCTGACACCTAAGAGCAAGAGAACAGGTATATTCCTTCCACTGTTGCAAATCCCTAGTTTCCTGACCCCAAGTCTCATATTCTTTCTTTCACATATCCAGATAATGGAAAATCGCAAATACGACTTTTCTCCTTTTATCTTAAATCCCTTTTGCAGATCAGCTTCCCCAGACCACACCTGTATTAAGTCAAAGACCCTGGACCCGATGGCTATCTTCTTCACCAGCGGAACCACCGGCTTCCCTAAGATGGCAAAACACAGCCATGAACTTGCTTTACGATCTTCCCTCCCTTCCTGGTAGGAAAGAAGACGCTAACTTAGAGGCAGAGTCTGGTTGTGTGTGTGAGTGTGTGTGTGTGTGTGTGTGTGTGTGTAGAGAGAGAGAGGGTAGAAATGCACATGTGGAGGTAGTATAGGTGCAGTGTGTGGAGAATGTGTTTTTGTGTGGACAGTATAAATATGTGTATGTGGACAATATAGATGTGTAGTGTGTGGAAATGTGTGTGTGTTTGTGTGGAGATGGTAGACACATAGATGTGGAAGGTGTGTAGGTATGGAGTGTGGAGAATGTGTCTGTGTAGTGTATGTTTATGTGTATGGAGAGGGTAGATATGTGTATGTGGACGAGGTGGAGAATGTGTAAGGTGTGCATGTTTGTGTGGATAGTGTGTGTATATGTGGCAGTGTGTGGAGAATGTGTAGGGTGTGTATTTTTGTGTGGTGCATGTGTGTGTATGTGGCAATGTGTGGAGAATGTGTAGGGTGTATGTTTGTGTGGAGAGGGGAGATATGTTCCTGTGGAGGCTTGTAGACACAGTGTGTGGATAGCATGTGTGTGGGGGATAAAGACACAGGTCACTTTTTCTGTAAGTGCCCTTAAAGTTTGGTGGAGAAATGTAGCATGTTCTGGCAATGTGGTCTGAGGGGATAGGCCCCCCATGCTCCTCCATGAATGGCAATTCAGAGATGGGTTTCTAAATAATAAGCTGCTTGGGGATCCATACCTGGACCCAAACCACAGTCTACACCACTGTCCCTAAAGCAAACCAAGTAGTAGAGAGCGGCTGAGGCACTCGCCTCTAGGTTAATCATTTAACCAACCCTCAATCAAACCTCTGCTCCCATCCCGCTGACCCCACACTGGTAATATTCCAACCAGCCTAGGTCTATATAGTTTTAAATGATTAAACCAGAACAGGGGTCAGCAAAGGCATCTTGTGGGCAGTGGGTTTTGAGCTAATTGATAGAGCACATGAGTGACCATGAGTTGGAATCCACTCATGGTAAGTGGTCTGGATTATGGGTTGAAGTAGCAAATGTTCAGGAAGAACGGAAGTGAGGAGAATGGAGGGCTTTCCATGAAACCAGATATACAAAGTAGTATTCTGACAACTATGAAGGTTTAAGGATAGCTGCTGCTTATCAGCTGGTGAGAGGTCCGTAGGAAGACCTGGACATGTGCAGCGGGGACAGGTCATGCAGGTTCCTACAGCCTGTGGTGTTGAGTTTGAACCTCTCAGGAAAACAATAGGGATGTAATAAGACGTAGTTAGCCAGGGGTGTGGCCTGGTCAGGTTTGTGTTTTGAAAATGTCTCTATGAAGGCTGGATGGAAACTGAGAACAGAGTCAGGGAGACCAGTTAGAGGCTCTGAAAATCAAGTGCAAGATGGTGGTGGCCTAGACCAGGTAAAGGGACATGGAAGAAGTGAATACATTTGAGGTCGTAGGAGACAGAGTAGACAAGAGCTTCTGGCCAGTTGTGCTAGATAAAACAGAGGAGAGACTCAAGGTTGTCTCTCAGGTTCCTAACTTAGGAGTTCATTGAAATACAGAGAACACTAGAAGAGAGTCAGTTGAAGGAAGACAGGAGATATTATGATCTGCTGGCTACGGGGTACCTGGATACATCACAGAAGGCATACTCAGTCCAGTGTGTAGCTGGTGAGGTAATACAGATCAGAAGAAATGCCCCACCCCCTTCTATCTAGTAATTTCCTTTGGATGTGCCACAGTCCTCAAAGAGCTAGGATGAGAGTGTGAATGCTGCATCAAAACTCCTTTCCACTAATAGAGAAGCCCCTTAAAGTCATAACCAGCAAGTGGGAGAACAGAGCTGTGTTTCCTCAGGAAGCTATACACAGACAGCTCCCTCCATGGCAGTAAGAGTGAGGTCGAGAAATAAGAAACCTTCCCCATGCTACCTTCCACCCATGAATAAATCATTGCCCTTTGGATAAGTCCTTCTACTCCCTTGTCAAGACAGTGTATTCATTAGGATTCCTGTCCATTACAAATGCCAGAAAAGCCAACATAAAGCTCTTTAAACCAAGAGTGAATAAGAGAATTCTTGACGAATGAAATAGAGAAGTGCAGAGTTTGGCTCCAGATGTGCTTGGGAGGCCTCTGGATTAGGTTTCCATCTTTCCGTCTTTCCACTCTGATCCTGCTGCGTTGGCACTATTCTCAGAAAACCTCATTTCTTATTATCCCCAAGTAGCAGGGAGTATCACCCAGGACGATATCTGTAACAGATTGAAACCCAGCAAAGGACCAACAGACTACATCCTGGCTTTCTCAGAAAAAGTCTTAACAATCATGATTGCACCAGTGTAGGCCACTTGTGACCAGAGAAATATGATTGATTGGTTAGCAAGACACCTTTGGGAATGGGTGGGAGAGGATGGACCTGCAGCCCACACAAACTGCATGAACTGGAGTAAGCGGGGCAGGTCCCTATCCAAACACCAGAGTCCCCGGGACCCCACTCCACAGCTGAGATTACTGTATTTTGGAGATAGCAGGAAATTGCTACAGCTGAAGACGTCCGATATCATCTGGTGCCTGTCGGACCCAGGCTGGATTCTGGCTGTCTTAGGGGCCATGCTTGAACCATGGACTGCAGGGGCTACACTTTTCATCCATCAGCTGCCCCAGTTTGACCCCAATGTCATTATACAGGTAAGCAGAATAACCTCTCAGTATCAACAAACTTCTGGAAGAAGCCAGGAGTTTCAAGGCCAAAAGCTAGACCCTCCTGGGAAATCCTTGATTTAACAAGGAAGCCCATCAGCACTGTGTGGTCCTGGTTCTGAGGATCACAAAGTGTGGACCATTGAATCATCATTACCACATCATAATCACATCAAGATGTAGCTTTGATTGGAATGTATATTTCTGAGTAATTCCCAGAACTATGGGTTAGACTTTGTGGACATGGAACCTGAAACACACATTTAGAGAAATTAAAGCAACCAGAACAAGATCAGGTCTCCTGGATCCTGGTTCCTGTCTCAACCAGATTAACTGGTGGGTGGGTGGGTGTGGGTGGGTGTGTTGTCACTCATGTTGTTAAATTTTTAAAAACAGATAGCTTGGGATAAGAGATATAGTTCCTTCTTCCAGTTTTGTTATTTGTTAAGCTGGTAATTGAACCACTTTGAGTCTGTCTCCTCTTCTGTAAAATGAGGGTTTTAATGATTATTAACTCATATAACTAAATTATTAATATAAGATGATGTGGCGGACAGGACAAAACCAGCTGTCAAGTCCATTCCACGTCACAGCAACCCCACATGTGTCAGAGTAGAACAGTGCTTCATAGGGCTTTCAGTGACTGATGTTTTGGACACAGCCAGGTCTTTCTTCTGGGGCACTTCTGGGTAGATTCCAACATTCAAGATTTCAGTTAGCTTCCAAGTGTATTAGGTGTCTCATCACCCAGGAACTCCAGCACCTAGAAGGGGCTCAATAAATGGTCTATCATGATGACTAAAGTCACCCGCCATGTATAAAACTCATCCTCTATATGGTGGTGGTGGTGTGCCGTGGAGTCAATTCCAACTCATAGTGACCCTGTACAGGGTTTCCGAGGCTGTAAATCTTTACGGGAGCAGAAAGCCTTGTCTTTCTCCTGCGGAGCAGCTAATAGTTTTGAACCGCTGACCTTGAGGTTAGCAGCCTGATTTGTAACCACTACGCTACCAGAGAGAGCTCCTTATACTCTCTATATATGTTGTATATACAGATAGTGAAGAAATTAACAAAGGATAAAATGAGCATTCCTAGAAGTTAGTCCAGAACTAAAATGCAAATAATTGGATATAGTTTTGACTAGTGTTGTGAAAATACATCCCTACTCTTTTCATTTCTCAGACATTCTCCAAATACCCCATCACCCAAAGCATTGGTGCACCAGGTATTTACCGGATGATCATGCAGCAGAATTTCACCAGGTATGGCAGACATGGCTGGCGACAGCCGTCTCCGGGCAGGATTTTAGGCCATCTGAGGCATCATGATCTAACTGTTTTCTCCCCTAGTTCTTGGAGGGTAATCTGTATATGTGTGCATGTGTGTGTTTTAAGTGGCAGCCAGCCTACTTAGTTCGGTACAGCAGGATCCACAGAGCCCAGAGAGGCACTCACTGGGCCTTGTATCATTGTGGGCTTATTCTTTTAGAACTATTTTGTTTGATGTATCATTGTGGTCTTATTCCTTTAGAACTATTTTCTTCTGAGGTAATAGACATTCAAAATTGCTCATAGCATCGATGTACACATTAATAAATTGTTGTAAAGAGCCAACCATCCAGAGTACCCTGGTGCAAACAAATAGTTACTTCTATAGAGCCTTCTCTAGGAGAGAATTTGTGAGGTCACATTAACACTACAAACTCACACGTATTTTCCAAAGCATTGAACCAATTTATGCTCTTACTAACTGGATAGGATAATTCCTGTTGTTCTACCTTCTTGCAAAACATTTGATAATATCAATTCTTAAATTTGAATAATCAGGTAGGTATGTAGGGTTATCTTATTGAGGGTTTATTCCCCTGCTTCCCTCGTCTCCCCCGCCTCCACCGCCACCATGTGTGAATGTTAATTTTTAGCCAAACTGACATCCGTTCTTTGAACCTCATGGTTACTTACTTGACTTCTAGAGACTCTAGAATTGAAATGACTGAAATTAAACTTCAGAGTCACCACAATTTTAGAAGTTTAAGAGTTAAAATATTAAGTGTAATGACTACCTTTATAAAAACCCAAACAGCAACAATAAACCAAACCAGCTAATCAAGTCAATTCTGACTCCTAGTGATTCTATAGAGGGCAAAGTTCAACTGCCCTTAGTATTGCTGAGAGTACAGATACTTTAAGGGAGTGGGTGCCGAAATCTTTACAGGAGCAGAAAGCCTCAGCTTTCTCCCGCAGAACAGCTGGTAGTTTCAAACTGCCGACCATATTAGCAGCCCAATGCATAAGCACTACGCTACCAGCCTTATCTTTCTCCCATGGAATGGCTGATGGGCTTGATCTGCTCACCTGTGGTAAGCAGCCCAATGCTTAACACAGAGCACCATCACGGCTCAAACCTCACCTTGAAATGAAGCTTAACTGTATTTATAGAATCTCAGTCTGGCTGGATTCTGTTTTACAGCTGCTTTTTGTACTATTCTTCAGATAACGGCCTTTGTCCAAACACAGCAAAACTCAGTAACTAATGACTCTGTCTAAGATCCAAACAACCAATCAGCTCACTGCTGTCTACTCGATTCTGACACACAGTAACCACATAGGACAGAATAGAACTGCCCAAAGGATTCCCAAGCCTGTACATCTTCACAGAAGCAGACAGCCACATCTTTCTCCTACGGACTAGCTGGTGGGTTTGAACTGTTGACCTCTTGGTTAGCAGCCTATCAATGTTACCACTGTGATACCATGGCTCCTTCTAAGGACCTAAGGTTCTGCCCACTCTATCTTCTTTGAGCAAAGCTATAGGAGAATAAGGAAGACATCCCATGTAAATATCAAATCAATTCCCATTCTCACACCAACTGAATGAGAGCAATTCAGTTCCAACTCAACTGTCCCTCTCTGCTACTCTTCTGTTATACCACCAGCTACACAGCTTCCATTGTATCATTCAGGGTTTTCTGGAGAAAGAGAACCAGTATGAACCAATGTGAGTATATATATATTGAGAGAGAGAGAGAGAGAGAGATTTCTTTGAGGACTTGACTCATGCTATTGTGGGAGCTGACAAGGCTGGTAGCTGATATCTAGGGTAGACCAACAAGTTGGAATCTCTGCAGGAGTTGCTGCTGACAGCAGGCTGAGCAGGAGTTTGCATTGTAGTCTTGAGGCAGAATTTCTTCTTCCCTGAGAAAACTCAGTTTTTGCTTTTAAAGCCATCAAATGATTGGATGTGGCCCAAACTCATTATCAAGTTCGGTTTGCTTTACCTAAAGTCAAGTGATTGTTGGTGTTAATCACATCCACAAAACGCCTTCAAAGCAACAGCTGGATAAGTGCTTGACAAAAGAGCTGGGTGCTTTTGGATAGCCTCAAGTACTAACCTAAAGATTGATATTTCAAATCCACACAACGGAACCACAGAAGAAGATGATCTGCTTCTGTAAAGATTACAGCCAAGGAATCCTTAGGGAGCAATTCTACTTTGTAACAAATGGGGTGACCATGAGTTGAAATGGACTCAACAGCAATGAGTTATGGGTTATAGCCTAGCCGTGCAACTAACAATAGCCACTCCTCAGAAACCTTATGAGTGGTACTCAACAACTACACTCCATAGAAATAGAGTTCTGTTATTCTACCATGTCCTTGAGGTCCTGTCCCTTACCACTTGGTAATGACTATTGGGAAACTATCCAGACATACGGTAAGAAAGTGAGGAAGAATAGAATGAATAATCAGATAGCAAAACTCTGCCCTTAATGCAATTGGGCCTGGGGTATAACCTTCCAGGCCCTTTCTGAGGTCTGGTGACTCCTTGCCTTCCCCTTAAGTCTCAGGTTCCCAGCACTGGAACACTGCAGCACTGGTGGGGAGGCTCTATTGCCTGAAGAGCTAGAGAAGTGGAAAAAACAGACAGGCCTTCTGATCCACGAAATCTACGGACAGTCGGAAACGGTAGGTGGACAGGGCATTTCTGGGCTGATGTGTTCAACTATCAAGCCCCAGGGATATGCTCAGTCAGACCACCAGTGTGCACAAAGGCCCAACATTGCTAAAAGCATATGGAAGGCTTGAGAGATCAGAGCTAATTTGTCCAAAATCAATGTGCTAAAATCATGATTCATCAACTGATCAAGGAATTAATGTACTGAAAACTATTGGACAATAACTTCCGAAGGTGTCTGAGGACATTCTGCCCTTGTTCCTACAATAACAAGCTCAGGATAACCCAAGGATAATGGGGTGGGGGTGGGGTAGGAAATGGAAAGCTCCTTCCAACAACATGACCATGATCAACAAGTTCTGGCCATTCCACCATCCCCTCCCAGAAATTTGTTTCTGGGTGATTATGAGGACAGTACACAGGTTTGATTGTAAGACACTAGCAGAGACTTTGTGTGCACACCAAACACACACTATAAACCCAGAGACGGTAACTGGTCTCTATGCTGCCAGACAGATAGTCATATCCTGTACGTCTCAAACCTCAAACCTCAATGACAGGGTTGATAGTTATCTGTCTTCCAACACATTCTCAATCCATGTTCAATGCTAGATAGGATGGAGGTCCTTCCCGCATCTTCCTACTCTTCTGGTTGACAGAGATGACTCCGCAGACCCTGCAGCAAGTGGCTGCTTCATGTTTAGTTCACTTGTGAGGGAGCTTCAAAAAGTTTGTGGGAAAATGGGATGAAAAGATGGTAAATTTTTCCATGAATTGTTTGAAGCCCCCCTGTCTAATAGATTTTTGGGAGAAAACAAAAAAAGTCAACTGGTCTGCTTCCATGACAGACTCAGGTGGTGACCTGGAGTAGCTCACAGTTTCCATCTGAGCTGCGTGGGGGGTGATGAGCTGCATACTACACTCATGAACCATCGGCAACAGCAGAACACTCCCTTAAAACCAAGATGGTGCTCCATTACTCAAAGCACGTCCACACCTACTCACTCATTCAGGCAACATTTCCCATCTACCTGCAGGAGGAGCCTCTTTCCTTCCACACGGGAGACGCAGGTTCCACTCCTGACTAGTGTTCCTTATGTGAAGCCACCGCCTGTCTGTCAGTGGAGACCC